GTCTCCTTTCACGTTGCAGAATGAAAAACTGTTTTTGTCGGCTACTCGACATGCACGTTGATGTTCCCTCCGTAACAATCAATATGGAGCCAGGAAACCCATCACTGAAAGCACTAATTGAAGGTTTCTTGGCAGGCATACATGTACATACAGAATACATGTAGTTCTAAAAGTACATTAGTTTTAGCAAGCAATTTCTTTAGGCTAAATTTAACATCTTGCTTACAAACCTACATTGTACATGTATGGCACAGTACACAAATATGGTGTAGGCAGGTAGGCATAGAGCCAAGCAACGGCCTTTCAGTGCATTACATGTACATGTATGTACATGTACGTGTACATGTACATACATGTACCTGATGTACCTGTTGCTGAGTTGCACAGGCACAGTATGATCACTGGATCTATGAGTCAGCTTTTTCCTGACTGTTTCAAGGATTTTGTTTCCTATTACAAGTGCAATTTGGGTGATATCGACCAATACCTGCACCATTCTCTCACTAGTTGTTGATGTACATGTACTTGAAGTCGCAGACACTGTGTAAATTTAAACTCAAAATATTCATGTGCACATATAAACACGTACAATATACATGTACATGACAAAGTATACGGGATATGATTCAAAGCAGTAAAATGTTAAACATGATGGTGGACTTCCTGAAAGATTTGGGTCTTTCAATATGGTGCTCAAAGGTTGCCTTCTGAAGTAGGCCAATATTTTCATGAACAATTCTCAAAAAGAATAAAAAGTTGCCAATGGACATTCAACATTTTGGCCTTAAAGTGTCACATTGCATGGTACAACATCTAATGTCCATGTAGCCTATTCCAGCCATTCAGAAATTGCAATACAACACGCTAGACCTTTCACATGAAATCAACACCATTTTTGCCAGTTAGAAAAATTCTGCTAGGACTGAAGGACATCTGATATACATGTACATGTATTCTGGCAATCTACACAAGTCAAAAGAAAAAAGACTTCTTTCTGTAATGCAAGTTCGCATTTCCTGTTAAACCACTGATTTTCAGAAGATAATTTTTGAACTTCTGTGCGAGGAACCAAACTGAGGAAAGCTTAATAAAAAAAAATAAAAAAAAAATCGTAACACCAATAAAACAGTAGTCATGCTGGCAAAATGACTCCTGTCCTCTAGTGAAGAACGGGGAAACCTAAAAAAAAAAAAAAGAACAAAAAATACATGTACCGGTACTTACCCAAAAATGGAAAAAAGTGACAGTAATCTGAGTTCCAGGACATTTTCCTGGAAACAGCCTTAAACATTTCATTTTACCAAATGCGCCCACCTTCCTCAGGTACATGTGTGTCCTTCCTCAAGATAATACAGAGTGCATGGTAAATTGCGGTTTGCCCTTGGAACTTTGAATTACATTCAGGTTACTCAAAATTCTTAGTTGTCAATTCAACAAGTACAGTACAAGAACTTGTACATGTACGGTACACTGTACATATGTACCATAACTGTACTGTATACCTCCATAAGTTTTACCATTGAGCATGTTGAGCATGTTGAGTATGAGTACTGGAGCGTAAATTTTATTTTTGCATGTAACAGAAATTGACCATTCAACCATGCAGACAATTTGCTGATGAGAAGCAATTCTGGTGTCTTGTCTGATGGTCAGTGAGGTGAACCAACCTGTCATGCCTGTGGCAAGCGGTGCGCACCTGGTGTAGGGCCTACATGTACATGAAGCACTTCCATTGTAATGAGCTTCAAATCCACATCACAAGGGTACTGGTGAAACTACATGCTCTGATCTACATGTACATGTATGAACACTTGCATGTATTTGGATAAGTTTCAAATCCAAGTCAAAATGCACTAGTGAAATTCCACATTCTTTGGATTCATTGGAGCATCCCAAAAGTCCATACATGTATACTGTACATGTACCTCTCACCGGTACATGTGGCTTGACATACCGGTAATGTACATGTACCACATTTCTTGGTACAGTATATGTACATTGTACATGTAACACACTACAGGCGTAGTACCAGTATTTTGATTTGTCATACCTCTGTCTCGGATACTGTCTGTGTCTCGCATATTGTCTGTTCACTGGCCCAGAACGATCACGTTAGGGCGATATCTGCATATATCACAGTGCCGTGACCATCTCATTCTGCCGATAGCACATGTGCACGCACAAGACAGAGGAGCTTCGGGAAGTTTGGGAGCGACCGTTGTCGCTCATTTAGTCAGTTTTGGTGGTACCAATGATACATTTTGTGCATACCGGTAGTTTACCAGGGAATTCCATCAATGGTCGCGCTCGTATAACAGACTCGTTCCCGTCCCCGCAGCATATAAGGTAATGCAGGGACTGCTAACCAGACTACATGTACATGACATGTGAACTTGTACTCACTGGTACCCACACTACTTTCACATTAAAGATTATGCAGTTAAAGAAAGTGAGGGAACAGTGTACTTGCAGATAACATCGTTTATGTCTGTTATGTTAATTATACAGTTTGATAGTAGGCCTGTTGTCTTCTGAACTTCAGAGCTCGTTCTTTTGGACAAATTCCTCAGCCTCAACATAATTAACACAAAGGTATGATAAAACAACTGTTGACCGCTGTGATGTGGGACATGACGTTTTGAACACCCAACGGACCCATAGCGCCCTCGGCTTCACCTCGGGGCACTACTGTACATGTGTGCGTGCCCGAGGGTGTTCAAAATGTCATATCCCACATCACAGCAGTCAACAACTGTTAATTTCTAGAAGTATTACACTATACGTCAGGAAACATTTCAGACTGAATCAAAAAAAATTCCTTTACAGAAAAAATATGTAAGCACTACCATAGATTACAAGATAAAATTATCAGGTCATCACTGGTCACAGGCATGCAAATAGGCTGTCTGTGGGAAGAGGAAAGTAATTCCTAATTACAACAGACTTTGTACACTACATATAGTGTCAATTTATAGTTTTACACATGTAACAGAACATGTACATGTAGAAAGTACACAATGTCAAAAGACAAGGAAGCTGACCGGAGAGAGGGATACTTTTAAATTCGTGACAAAAGCCACAAAATTATTCTACAACTGTAAGCAAATAAATGATTTCTACTGCAAGTGACAGAAACTTGTTTTATGGTGTGAACATGTGGAGGATACAAATTTCAGACAAAAAAATGGCTGGAAAACAATTTGATACAGCAGATAAGCCGAGGATGTCAGAATAAACCCCCCAAAAAGTACCCAAGGCTACCCCATTGGCATAACAGCACAGCAAACCCATACATGTATATACGGGTAGGCAAATCCTAACCAAAGTCATTACTTGGACCACCACATCTATGCCAACTTCAGCATCGTAGTCGGGCTCGACTCAACAGCCGCAGATTAGGGCGAGTCTACAGGACTATGTACACATGTACATGTACAAGCACATGCACACGTATCTCTGTGCGTCCTTTGCTTTACATGCCACATGGAAATGCTGACAAACTTGCAGGACAAACATGGACACCCTATGGCAGTTTCTTAAAAAAAAACTTCGGGTTGGGCAAGTAGACACGTGTAAAGCATTCATACCTGCTGTGAATGTGCACGGTGTAGCATGTAAAATTGAGCCTGCGTGGGAACGATTTCACACTTGATCCCAAGAAATACATGTACTGCTTTTGTCTTCGGTATTAGATATGTGTTGGGGATTCAGGTGTTTCACACAGGTTAAAATGATCGGGAGTGGATATGGAAATTCTGTGAAAATGTGCAGTGACCAATGGCAATGTTGGAAGAACTCAATGCAAAAGTGGAATTGGTCACACTGTTACTAAGACTATGCCTAATACCTGGGTACCCGCAACCTGACCACTGATTATAGGTAACCTAACCATTTTGTTGATTTTATCACCCAAAACTGCCCCTGTCAATGTCATAACAACATGTCGGAAAAGCAAGGAGTGTTTTCCTTTGCTTACTTGCTGGTAAATTGTTACATACAGAAACAAATCTGAGTAAAATATGTTTGAATCCACTGGTTGACTTGGAGTTCTTCAAGTAACAACTGACCAACCAACTACACATTTCACTCATATAATGTAACATACGACTACACATACAGTGTACATGTATGTAGCCACTTAACCTTAACCCCTTAGGGTGTATGTAAAATCATATTGAAAACAAACGGGGGCCATGATTATGATGATGAAACAGTTGGCCTCTGCCAGGCAATGGGGCAGCGCGGACATCCGGAGTTTCACAAAAAATGCGGGTAGCAACCACACAACAACTGCAACGAGCGCACGCGTACGTGCAGATAAAAGAAAGATTGTATAACCCGATCCTGGGACTGGCTGGTGCGTGCGTACGTCGCTTGCTGTTTTCACGCAGCACCTATCATTTTGCGATAATCCCAGATGTCCGCGCTGCCCCATACCAGGCTGATGCCAATACATACAGTGTACAGTGTGTAGACCACCATGTGTACATCATCGATCATAGACTGTAGAACTTCAAGTTAACTGCCATAAGCCCTATTGAAAATACTGCATGGGTGATTTTGCACAACGTTCACATGGTAGAAAGGCATTGTGGGAAGGAAAAAGGGGCAAAGTTTGCTCCTTTTTCCTTACTTGCGACAAGGCTTGTGACATGCATGACTGGTTTGCCTGTGGTGGTGTCACATTTTCAAGCGGCACAACACAAGCTTTACTTGGAAGCTATTCAGATTAAGCTTGCAACACATCAGTACAGCTACAGACTGTTTTCTGGTTTTCCTTCCTCCATGTCCTTCATGATAAAAAAAAAAAGCAAAGGAACAGGCCTACGTCACCACACAGCAGCAGTTGTCAGCGAGATTCTTGGTGACACATTTGCTGATCAAATCATGACAATAGGCCAACATGTAAATTACTTTCTGTCCTATATTGTACATTTTCGATCACAACAGCCTGTAAAATCCACATAAGAAAGAAGTTTTATGATGTGGGATTCACTTACCGCTTCAATTTCTTTCCCTCGCATTATAGTTTGAGGACTTTTATAAGTTAAATACGTAATTCCCCTTATTCGAATGCCATTATACGTACACTGTACATGTACGTGTATGTGCAATGTGTACCGTACATATACTCGTTTGATCGATGGTGACCAACCCGTGAGGTCACGTGACAACAGAACCAACCGGTGACGTCGCCTTCAGCTTGATGGTGTGCTGGCGCCCTTTATCTTTAGCGGTCTCCTTCATCTGTATGGCCGGCTCCGTGTTCACGTGCAGTACCGCACCTGTACCAGTTATCCCGCACACACACACACACACCGGGGTTGAGCGGGCTCCACCCACTGCATTGTTTTTTTGTCGCAAGGTCGATGAATGGAAATAGAAATGACGTCACTCACCAGTTTTCATTGTCTCCATTTAAAGCTTAGTCACCCAACATGATGATGCCTGATGTGTGACAAAGGGGAACTCCCCTTTGCGTCTTCCTGTGCGCTGTATATGTTAGTAATAATGGGAATTCCATTCAGATTTTCAGGGGGCCTGGATGCAGGTACAGCGCGGAAGCTTGGGAATCTCTAAGGGTACATAGTATGAGACATAAATAATGCTTAGGCATCACATGGGGGTTCCACCTTTGCCACATAATCGTGATGGGTATTACACTCAAAGCAACTGTGATCTAGTTGCCACACCTACCAATTTTTGACACGACAGTAATCAAAAAGTTAATTGTCTTTTTTAATATTTTGGCGTACTCAGCTATATCTATGCAAAGAGTAACTTTCAAATCTTCCTTTTCAGGAGTGTATCAATTAAGGCACCCAGTTTCCAGCTGATTTTCTTCTCTGTAAGTCATGCAGGCGGGGGGGGTGTTCAGTTGGCACAGGAAGGCAAACAGCTTTAAGCATATTGTGGGTGAATTATTTTCTGCTGGGTGGGGCTGAGGCTATTCTTCATTCCTGAGTGAGTGCCACGCATGTTACTTCTCATAGTATTCCAAATGACAAAAACTCGCTGCTCGTTGAAGAGACAAACTCTTAAGTGTAGCCTCGAGGGAAAAACAAATTTATTTGTTTCACTGAGCAAATTAGCAAATACACGCAAACTCACAATAGACATTGGGGTGTTCCACTTTTGATAAACTGTGGTTGCATGAAGTTTACCGTTAGGCTGACATGTAGCATTCCTTTGTTTCAATTTAGCGTTTTCACTGTCTGCCAAAGGCAGTTTAACACTGCTCCTCTATGATTAATCAAAAAAACTCCCAATGCTCCTTTTTTCCTTCTTGAAAATTTTCCAAACTCTTTTGAAAGTTGTCACTCCAGTAATACGGCTTGTTGCTGGCCTCATTATTTCAACTCTCCCCCTCTTATCAATTCTGGGTCTTGACCAAGTCTAAAAATGTAGCCATCCGACATACTCAGGGGTGTTTAATCCATCTCCACTACCAAACTGGAAATGGTTTACCAAAATAATGTTTAAATCTTCGCAGTTACCAAAACAAAAGACATATCCTACACGGCCTTTAAGAAAATCTTTCCGTGTACAAAAGATGACTGTAAGAAACAAAACAGGGTCTACAAACTGTCCCATCTGTATCTTCTGTACTATTTTGTCATCCATTATTTGGTTTTGAAGGATCTTCTGGGATTGAGGATGGCAGAGCAAATTCACTACACTGTATTACCTTACTTGGGATATGAAACCCTTGCAAGATAAAGTAGAGAAAGGCAAAATATTGGATTCCTAAACACTGTAGGATTTCGGAGATGTCCAGAGAATACCAAAGCTAAATTGAGTACTGAATGAAGAATAAAAGGATGACTATGCAACTGGAATTACATCCGTTGATGGGACACATGCCATTTTCAGATTCAATGGCCTAGACAGTGGACACAGTTAATATGTTATGATTTTTCTACGTCGACTCTCCCAAGGGGTTGTCCTGGCCAACAAATGCAAGCATTTCTGGGGACGTTCCTGAGGAATACCCTCTTGCTTCTATTTGGCTTCTTTCTCGTCTTGGTATTGGTAGTGTAGGAGCTTGGTGTCTGTCTGTGAGATAAACTCCCATCCTGTCTCCTTCATGTGGTAGACTGTCAATGGAAAAGAAAACACATTTATTGGTCTGATTTCAGGGTGGGAATTTATCTTTAATTTGAAAAACGTTTACAAAAACTCGCTGACACTGTCAGAATGTTTCAACATTTAGCCAACACTTTACAGAGGCCGCCGCTGCCAACCTTAGTGTCTTCATACATGCATAATTACATAGTTCAAGAAGGCACATGGTCCAACCTATGTAAAAATGTAGATTGATGATGGGGCATTTAAAACAAGCAATATTTATTGTTTTAGAATTTTTTCTTAAAAATTATATGAATGCTAAAAGGGAAAACAAAACAGTGAATGATAGGCATCGTTTACAATAAAAATGAATGCCAGATTGCAACAATCAAAACATCAAACCTCTAAAAGGGACGGTTCTTTAAACATTTGGGAAAATCTGTAAGGGGATTTGGAACTGTTTTGTTTAAATGTTTAAACGTGTAAACGTCCCACCCTTAGTCTGACTGCATGCCATGGCTAGTCGCACATTGCGGGGGGCAGGTTCTTCGGTTAAAAAATTTGGGACCAAGTTGTGGAACCAAAATTTGTCCCTGTAACAAAATTTCTCCACGCACTAACTGTCATTCAACATACGTGTAATTCCCCATGACTGTGGTGTGAGTTTGGGTGCGCTTGTACATGGTGCTTTGTGGGACACCGGAAGGTACCCCACAAGGCAAGTTTTGATCCTTGTGGGGTACTAAAGTGGTACCCCACAAGAATTTCACAAAATAGACATTTCAAATTTACTAAAAAAGGAGGAATTTTCAAGTGCCATTCATTCATGAAGTGCTTTATATAAGGGACATACTGTCGAAATTTCAACCAAGTAAACTGAATTTGGTTGAAATGGCAGTGATTTGAAATTTTTTCTGTGTTGTGTGGGAGTTTTGTACACGAGAACAAAGGAAATACCCCACAAGTATATATGTAAGGGTGGGTGGTCTTGCTCGTGTGTGAGTCGCATTCGTCTTGTTCAGTCAATGCAGCAGCTATTCAGGGCATCTTGCCAAAAGGGGACCGAAAAGTAAGCATGGCTTACATGTGAACAGAATGTGAGTGGAAAAAAGTGAAAATATTCCGCAGGTTGAGTGAAAACAGAAAGTCTTATTTTGGCCCAACCACACGCAACATGGAGTCTGTAATCATAAACATGTTTATTCAACTCCAAGTTACTTAAAATATTAGCACATCATGGCCAACTTCAATAAAGCACTCGCGAGATAGTAACTAGGCCATGGGAAACGTATCCCCAAAGGGAAGCACTTGGTCAAATACCTTTCGACAGGTATTCCAAATAAACAAAAACGATGTAGTTGTATTGGAAAGTCTGTCAGATATCTAGAATTTTAAGCTCAACTGTGTCTCTGGAAAACAAAATGCCCTAAAATTGCAATTTCGTACTCTTGCCTGTGGCATGGCTTTGCACACTATTAAGTCAAAGTGTGGATGGGACTTACGGTTGACCACGCCTCCACTGTAGGCATCCCTGTGTGTGGCATGGTAGATTGCTCGCTGACCCAGTTCGTAGGCCTCTGGCACGGTCAGGTCATCTCGGTGGCCACTGTCCAGGACTCCATAGGCGTATGGCGAGCCGGACCCAACGGAGAAGAGCTTGTGGGTCAGTCTGCTGCCATCGCTGTCCACATAGTACAAGCCCGGTCCCTGTAAGGGTAAGGCACATGTTACACGTGTACTAGCGATGTTACAGTTATGGTTTTACGTGGTGAGAAAATTTTACGTGGTGAGAAAAGGTGATTTCAAAAACAGCCAAATGACAGGTTCGATTGGAACAGTTCATCCATAACTGTATGGAATTGTGTCTTCCACTCCATGAATGCGAAACATTCATACATGTATTTGCTTTGTACAATTCCTGAATATATTCTTGAAAGAAATCCCTGCAGAACCTGAAAACTTTCTTAAATATCCCGTCTGAATAAATCCTTGAGCATGCTCCCCCCCCCGGGGTCAGAAATTTACCGTGACTGTGGACGGACAGGACGTCAATCGATGGGTTCACCTGCAGAATGGCATGTTCCAACCGTGCAGTGTGGCCATGCCAGCAGTTAGGATGAATCGTTTGTGTTCAAAATCTACAAGTCATACCAAATCCTGACCTTGAAGAAAAACTTACCGTTTTGTCCCAACCACATATCATTGTTCCCTGGAGAGAGAAATCCGAAGGAGAAAACAAAGATATTGAATTAATAATGCACTGCTTGGACGTCCGTGCCTTGTTATTGCAGTAAATGTACACCGGTGAAAAGACAATACTTAAGTATGGCTCGGATAACGCTGCCAACTCATCCCTGGTCCCTGAAATGCTTCAAGTCAACTAGAAAGTACAAGGTATTCAGCATTACCTTTGCCCAGATTCCTGAACAAGTGTTCAGGAATCAGGGCTCGTTGTGCACAAAAACCTGAACTTGTTCCTCAGGTTCATTCCTGCAACTGCAGGAAAGACCCAAATGCAGCAGCTTTGCGGCTGGACTACTGAACTTACCACGGACAGTCCCATGCCCTTGTAGTTGTACAAGATGTTGGCCAGCAGTTTTGAGGCCGCTGCTACCGATATTCTTTCTTTATTCCGCAATTCGTAAACTCTGGGAAGAGAAGATGCAATTGTCAAAAAAAGAAAAGGTTATCGACTTGCCTCCGTGATGCTTCAACCACAGCGGTTAAGCTGGAGGTTGGAAATAGTAACGCAAATCTGAGAAGCTTCCGATGTAAAACAAAATAGCCTTCAGCAATACTTAAGCTGAAAAAAAAATGTTCTATGAAAGGTTACTCAAATAGCAACAACTCCTGGCCATTTTTTTACAATTTGTAATCTGGAACCCTGCACTGCTACAAAGTACTAGAAGGTAGAGATCACTGTTTGGTCATCTCACATTAACAACTGCTGATGGAAAGCCAATTTACAAATACACGTACAGGAAAACGTACATCAAGAGTGAGACAATTTATCTTATCTTTATGCTTGGGGCTATTTATGCAGGTGATGACGCAGTTAAGATTTTTTACTTCCCAAGCTGATTTCTCGATGTTGGGATTGCCCAAGAGATGTCATTTTAAAAGGAGACCAGTGACTTATAGTAAAGATTGCGGTAAAACCATGTATTTATCTCTTCTTTGAGTATGTGTGGTTCTGGGAAGAACCGGGGAATAACTCGACGTTTCGAGTTCCCCGGTTATTCCCCGGTTCTTCTC